AGAGCCACACAAAGACACAGCGGCTACGAAAAGAAGGGAAAGTATTCACAAAGAAACACAAATTGACTACCAAAAAGTGACACTAAATATGACCACAAATATGAACGCAACCACAGGGACTAAAAATGACTATGTGAAGAAGGCAAGTGGAGCTGCGTTCATATTAAAAAACACAAAACAACTACAAAAAGGGGCAAAACAACCAAAGAGACAATTCATATCTATAAATAGCAAAAAGGGAGATGTGTAGAGACGAGAAGACAAAAACACTAACGTAAAGAGGCTAACCTGCACATTGTAACACCCTATAGCATTTCTGTTATGTTCTTCTTGCACTATTTTTAATTGTTTATGTCCTATATGTATTTATGTTGCATTGTTGAAGGAGCCTGGGATTTAACATGTTCATTGCCATAACTGTAGCTACTGTGCATTTGACAATAAAACCTTTGAATCTTGAATCCAAACAGCTATAAGGTCTTTATATTGTCTTTCTCCCTTGTATGAAGCTGGCAGGGTCTTAAATGTGTCTACGCCCAGGGGCCCATTATCTAATCACCCGCCTATGACCACGCCCGCCTTATCAACTGTCATTGAGACCACAAAACATATATTTTACGTCTCAATAGGGAGATATAAAACCAAATGTCCCCATAAGCTCAGTGTTGAGATGTGAATGTATCTTATTAGACTGTGTACTCACTCCTGGCACATTTAGTGAAGCGCTGCTATCGTTGGTTCCTTTTTAAACCCTTCAGCCCTCTTGAATTGTTGCAGGAACAATGGAGCAGATCTGGATCTGACAGGCAGTCTCTTCAGCCCGACCCTCCGCACCGGGCCGTCAGCTGCAGGAGGGATGCTGCTGGCAGCCTGCAGAAGGTCCTGACAGCCGCCCCCCCCCCCCCCCCTCAGAAACCCCAACAAACACTCGGTGTGCTGCAGAGACAATGTGTTTACTATGATCTGTAAAACAAATACAAAGTGGCTCATGGGTCTTCAGGTAACTTAAATGGGACTGGATCTTTGATTATGTGTTATTTACATTAAGGCTGATTACTATGTTTTCACATTCCAAAATATGACATTTTAAACATTTTCCCCCAATAAAATATTTGATTTATTATAGCATAGTGCCTTTTAGTTTTGTATTCTCTTTGCTGCTTTTACTGTTTTTTCTCTATTTTAAACTGCATAGAGAGAAGTCAGCTAATCTCATTGTACATAATGGCAATAAAGGTCTGCTGATTATATACATTCTATTTTTATGTTGTGGTTAAACCAAGCACGAGAGCTCACACATAATATTACACTTTAATTTGAATTCAGGCATTATCATTTCTACCTGCTGTTATTCAATAGAAATACAATTTAAACGCTTAACGCCACAGATCTGCGTGATGAAACACGTTTTAAAGTAGAATATATTCCAGACACTAGCCAAATAAATCCCCAACAGCTTTTAAAGGACATCCGGGATCACGAATGTAAGGAAAGTGTACTTAATGACTCGTTAATGAGAAATCAGTCATTCTAAACCCAACGCAAACACTCACCCTTCCCGCCTAATTTACACTCCACACAGGTTTGTATTGACTCTTGGCAGAGTTAAACCGAGATGCCGGGCGGGATAACAATGCTCTCATTATTAATCAGGATGTTGTCCTTTCTCATTTCTCCTGCGAGTCAGTGTAATGGGTTCATTGAACTGTAGGATGGACAGGGGTTAAAGCAACACTGGAACTGTATAGGTTCATTAGCCGGTGTAACTCGATACTAAAGGAAATAGCAGCAACTTTGATGTGTTTTCCTGAAACAAATACTGAGGTCCCTGCTGGGAAATCAAAACTCACCGAAGAAGAATGCAGATCTGAGGCGTTTATGTGTTCCTTAAAAAGAAAAACAACGTGTCTGTGCGTCAACTGCAAGAACACAGTCATACTGGGAGAGGTGGAATGTAGTAAAGTGCTCACGTTTTCTACTAAAGTACAATAATGAGGTGTACTTATGCTGTATCTTCATTTTATCAATCAATCAATGTTTATTTATATAGCCCAATATCACAAATGTTACATTTGTCTGAGTGGACTTCACAGTGTGTACAGAATATCAGTATGACAATACTGTCCTTAGACCCTCACATCGTACAAGGAAAAACTTCCAGAGAAAACCCACAGTTTTCTTTTATGCTACTTTATACTTCTACTTTACTACATTTTAGAAGACAATGTTGTCATTTGTATTCCACGACTTTAACTGACAGTTGTAGTTACTTTACGGATTTAGATTAGCGTATAGAAAGTAAATAGAATTACAAGCTGTGACACATATATGCATCACTATAATCCAGTAAAATAACATTGTTGTGAAATGGGACATTACACATGATGATGAGTAGTTTTACTGTTGATACTTTAAGTATATTTTAAAGCCGATACTTGATTACTTGAATAAGATTTTGAATGCAGGACTTTTACCTCAGTACGTGTTTGTACGTCAACTTTAAAAACACATTGATACTGGGAAGTGTTGAAATGTAGTGAAGTAGCCTATTAACTCAAAAGTTCTAGTACAATTGTGAGGTATTTGTACTTAAGCTGAATATTTTTATTTTAGGCTACTTTATGCTTCTACTCCACAACATTTTTCCAGCGAATACTGTACTTTATTCATTTCATTTTTTACAAAATAAACTAATAAATCAACAGTGACATAAATGTAAGGTCAAGATATCCACGAGCATAGCTATACAAAGTAAATCAAATGATCCACCAGCTGTGATAAATATAGACGAATCAATAAGTGAAATTATATATGAGATTCTGAAATGGGCAGGGCGGATTTAGCACTCCGGTCCTGTACTCAAGCAAAACAAATATTATGGTCTTAAAATACTTGATTACAAGTAAACATCCCAAATTCTAAATGTTAATTAGGTAAAGTTAAAAAAGTATTTGCATCAAAATGTATTTGAAATATAAAAAGGAAAAGTACTCATTCTGCATATTGGCCCATTTCAGTAACATAAAGTAGTGAGGTATTATCAACTAAAAGTACAACAAGTATCAAAAGTAAAAGTATGCAGAATAGCTCTTTCATTATTAAATAATATTATATTATCCTGTTTTTCATATTTACAAGCATTTGAATCTTTTAGGTTGTCCATGTGGAGTCAATTGTAGAGACTTTTTAGAATGCATAGTGTGAGCAAACAGAGGAGGGAGAAGCACTCAGATCGTGTACTTGAGTAAAAGTACTAGAGTGTAGGAATACTCTGTTACAAGTAAATAAAAGGTTACTCAAGTAAAAGTATAAAAGTATTAGTATCAAAATAAACTTATATTACCAAAAGTAAAAGTACTCATCTGCAGATTGGTCCCATTTCAGAATAATATATATGATATGTTTTATAATTATTGATCATTAAAGTGTTATAAAAGCTGTTAAAGTAACTAAAGGTATTAAATAGTGGAGTTAAAGTACACGAGTATCCTTTGAATTGTAGTGGGGTAGAAGTACAAAGTAGCAACAAATGGATATACTCAAGTAAAGTACAAGTATCTCAAAATTGTACTTAAGTACAGTTCTTGAGTAAATGTACTTAGTTACTTTACACCTCTGTGAGCAAATCATATGTTTCTATATATTAAAAGCAATTAGTAACTGAGTGTAAATCAAATGTAGTGGTGTAAAAAGTACAACATTTGTGTATGGAATGTAGTGAAGTAGAAGTACAAAGTACTGTAGCAGAAAATGGAAGGCACATCAAATGATGTCAAAATATACTTAAGTACGATACTTGAGTAAATGTTCCACCACCATTACACATGACGAGTACTACTTTTGATACGTTGAGTATATTTTAAAGCCAATACATACTAGTGTACTTTTACTTGAATTATCTTGAATGCAGGACTTTAACTTGTAACAAAGTATTGCTACTTTTACTTAAGTATAACATTTGAGTACTTCTTTCACCGCTGATACTGGGTATTTGACAATTATTTATGAGGAATACATTATTTTAACTGCTTTAAACCTGAATACACTTTAAGGTCAAGTATAAGATATGATCAGAATGGCAGGGAAGGTGCCATATGGGACTTTTTATGTATGTATTCCACAGCCACGTTGATTATTATCTGCATGGCTTGTGTAATACTTTATAATAAAAAATGCTTTCTCTATAACATATGAGGCTGTTTGGTGACACCACAAACTGTCAGTAAGGCGCTTCACCTGTCTCAGTGATAATGTTGGTGAATCAGCTGCCACCTCTTAAAAAAGATCAGCGAAAGGCCTCGTGCTGCCTGTGTTTACTCCAACAAACAGTCCCCCCTTTTAAATTAGCATCGTAAAGGACTTCGCCAAATCAAAACCACGTGTTAGCAAAGATACAGCCTTCTTAAATTAAAGTTCATCCACATGCTGTCCTCCATCCAACCTCGGAACGAGCTGGCTTATTTGATTAACCCCCGTGCGTAATTACAGTGGTTTGCCATTTACTCAGTCATATCATTTGCACATAGAAGCGCATTAAATGTGGCAACCCAGAATTATGTGGGGCGAGCTGTGGCGATCCTGCTGGAATATGCTACATCCTGCATTTTGGTATCAGTGTGCAAGAAATGTCTAGACCAGAATAAACCCAAAGGCAAAACATAAGATAACACTCCTTTCCCATTAAATCTCGTTACATTTCCCACAAACAAAGGATGCTCATGTGTTCCTGACAGTAGTGTTTGTTGTCAGCTGAGCTTTAATAGATAAAACAGTCCCATTCAGAGGCCACCGGGTTTGCAGTGGCCTGCTGCGCCATAATGCTCGGCACAAGCCCTCCACTGCCTGCTATATACGGAGTGTTTTTTGTCAATATTAGCGGGCCTACTTGAGGGGAAGTTTATAATTGGACACGTGTTTTCCCCGCTTTTTTGTCGTTTGGAGATCAACTGATTCTTTTGTAATGCGTTTTTAAAGCAATGAACGATCCACAAGGAGGGGTAAAGTGTTCTTAAGAGCTCCCTTTCAGCCTTTAGAATTGGCCAGAGCAACCCGCCGAGCAACATGGAGGCCCTGGAAGTATTTAATCAGGGAGATGTGCCCATGTGGGTGTCACACGGCAGAGATTCAGGCACATGCAGGTAGACAGTATCGAGAATCTGCTGTGTGCCTTCAGAGACTTGGAAAGATCGTATCATTTTAAATATGGAGGACGTGCTTTGTGACTTGGATCAGGACGGCACTACTGATTATGCATTTTGGGGACAAATGGACCAAAACTTCCAGTTCCAGAGCCAGCTAGATACGTTCCTGCTGGACTACAACTCCGCTGGCCAGCTCTCACCCTGGTCCAACTTCGGCAGTCAGTCCATGTTTCCGGACGCACAGCTGACCTTAACCGACCTCGACATGCAGTCTCCGGGGGAAGACGCGTGCGCTGAAGGGGAAACGTCCTCCATGGACGACCCCCTGGAGGTGACCAAGCACAGGGCGCGGCGCCTCTCTTCTCACCCGCCCTATAAGGTGCAGCGGCACGCGGCCAACATCCGCGAGAGGAAGAGGATGCTGAGCATCAACTCCGCCTTCGAGGAGCTGCGCTGCCACGTGCCCACCTTCCCCTACGAGAAGCGGCTGTCCAAGATAGACACCCTGAGGCTCGCCATCGCCTATATCGCCCTGCTGAGGGAGATCCTCGTGTCGGGCTGCGACCCCAAGTCCTACGTAGACGACTGCATGAAGAGTGGCTACAAGAATCACACCAACGCCATCTGGAACACAAGCGGTGAGCTGATGCCCTTCATTACAGCCCATAATACAACTATCATTAGCTCATGATGGAGATGTAAGGGGCAGACATGATCAGAGTTGTTAAGCCTGACTTCAGACCATTTAAATGTGCTGACAGGACTCAGAGCATTATCTGCCTTTTATTTTAATATGGTAATTCATACAGGTTATTGTAGAATGTTTGGAAATTGTTTCAAGAGTTTCTTCACTCTCCAGAATATTGTCGTTTAGGCCTACCATATCTATTTAAAGAAAAACGTTATTTTTTAGTTAGTTAGTTTTATTCAACTAATTATGTCCGGAGAAATAAAACAGAATTATAAGATTAAAGTCAGAATTCTGAGAAAGAAAAGCCATGATTCTGACTAAAATCTCAAACATCTGAATTTTCTTTTTCCTTCACTTTTGGTCAGATCTCCAAAATAAATCACATGTTGCCCTAATCTTCTTTCATACACTTTCAATGTATCCCACACATTAACAAAAGTCCTCTAACAACACACTAAAACATAACATACCTGATATTTAAAGCCAAATATAACTTAACATCAATATGACAGAGGACATGATTAAAGTATTTCTGATTCTGACATAATCACATACAGCAAATAGCTCCATGTACACCATGGACACAGAGACAAGTCCTTAGTTCACCCTTAGTCCTTCATTGAGAAATAATGTTCGTCCAGAACAATAAGAAATTGTTGTTTTTCACAGTTATTGACTTGAAGCAGCTTGCTGTGTGTTTGCTGCTTCCTTTAATCCCCAGGTGTGTTTTCCTCGGGCATGAATCTCATTTGACAGAAACACAATCATCAGTATTCTTACTAGCTCCATGCCATTAACTAATTCTGTGGGAATCTGCTCTGAAGCCTCTTTATGAGAGTGTGTCCCCATTCTCTACCTCCAGCCCTAGGACTTGTTAAACAGTCATTAAAATGTAACTAAACGTATGTCCTGGTTTTGTCTCCATCTCTCTTTTCCCAGACCTGACAGCCCGCCTCTCTTGGATAAAGTGGGATTAACTGAGGAACATGGGGGCGCCCTGAGAGGGGAGATGGCAGCGGGGGGAGGTTCAGATTGGTTTCTCTGTCCCTCTCTGTCTACATGTCAAAGAAAGGCGTTCGTCCCGTATGACCGACATCTGCAGACTTCTCATCGGGTCACACACCTCAGGCTTTTCTAAAACCTCACCCCCCGTCCTCCGTGGCTTTTAATATTCTAATTTCTTGTTGACTGGTTAATTGAGAGCCATTGTTTCTGAGGCCAGGGGGGGGGGAGAGGGTGGGCATTGTTTGCCCAAATAGATGGCACTTGTTCCAGCGGGAGAGGGGCACACTGGCATGAGGCTGAATGGACTTCCTGAGGGCTCATACTTCTGCATGAAGCAACTGAAGTGTTTTCTGGACTCGCGCTCATTAGTGTGCGAGGCAATGTGTTAAAAAGAGCCTTGATCATGTAAATGAGACAATGGGCGTGAGAAGCAGATCAGCGCGATGTGTTTTAGCATGTCAGGTGCAAACATGGCAATAAGGCTATAGTGTTTCATGTGAAAACTCTATAATCTCTTGTTTTATTTATTTATGTATTTATTCCTTATTTTGTGTATTTATGACAAATACTTTTTCGGACACGTATTTTTTAACATATGTCTATTATTTAATTTCTTTTTATTGTGATTTATTGTACATTTTAAGCTATTTCATGCTATGTAAAAGTGTATTTATTTCTTAAATGGATCAGCACAGAAAAGTTGAATGTATTTGTGATCAATGATCATTTCTCAGGATCATAAAAAGCAATTTTTCTCCACTTTGGTTTTCTATCTTTTTGAATTAAGGATTGTGTATGTTTCAGGGGTTAGTCAAGCACTTACATGTCATCTCTCTCTGTCCCTGATTTCTCTTCCTGATAATGTTATGGATGGGCGGTGGTGGCGAAGTCGATAGGGACTTGGCTTGGCAACTGGAAGGTCACCAGTTCAAGTCCCGGCAAGTACTACCGAGGTGTCCCTGAGCAAGGCACCGTTCCCCACACTGCTCCCCGGGCGCCGTTCAAAATGGCAGCACACTGCTCCTAAACACTAGGATGGGTCAAATGCAGAGAAACAATTTCCCCACGAGGGATTAATAAAAGTCCATCTTATAGAATCAAAAATGACACTTTGGATGAATATTTGTATTCATACCAGGGTCTTAGTTAAAAAATACCCAGGTGTCATTCCTCAGAGGGAGCTGAAACTACTGCTGTACTATAACGGCATGACGGATCAACTGCTGGCTGAAGTCTGGTCACTGTTAAACAGGAAAAAGGTTCAACAAAAGTATAGAAATAAGAACTGCAGACAACATAGTTTAAATGATCACATATTTCAATAAATAACTTCTAGGGGACATGAAATGCCTTTGACTTGGCAGTGGTGATGACACAAAAACAAAACTATACCGAATGCTTCTGGAGCTTTTAGAATGTTCTACAGACATTGGTGGAGAAAGGATTCACATATCCTGTTAAAAGTAAAAGTCATGCAATGAAAATGATCTTCATGTACAATTCTGTATCTAAGGATAGCTTACGTTAAGAAATGATTGCAGAAACATTTCCCATGTAAATGTTATACAATTTTTACTACATCATTAGCTGATCACTTGTACTACAACTACTATTACTACGACTACTCGTGAATGAATGTTTACACAGGATCCAACTGTAGTTGGTCTCCAAATATACAACGAGACATTGTGTCACTTCAGGAAATGTCAAGGCAGCACTCACGTCATTAGGGTACATCATTTTAGGGAAGGAAAATAAATGGACAAAATGTCATGGCTATGCATTCGGAAGTTGTTGAGATTGAGGAAATAATCAGTTTAATGAAAAGAGTTTCCCCATGCATGCCATATCTACTAATCTAAAAACAGTGTCTGATCCTCTCCAGATGGCTGTTGATGTCATTATGTAAGTATGTAAACATGGTGATGCTAAATTCCATGGCTGATTTTGATTTTTTAACTGTTTTGTATAGCCTGAATAGTTTTTCTCAACAATCTTCAGATGCTGCTCCAACCTCCAAGCATGAAGGTCAGATATATAAAGCAGGCGTAGGGATTCAACAACACACCCATTCTCCTTACAAATACTATTTGAGCTCCACAAAGGCAACTCTTAGCTAACAAAAGTAGATTTTCATTTAAAACACAGCCTATGGGGAATATAGAGATGGTTTTAAAATGATGTAATGGTAAATGAAATCTGGATGAGATTGCAAACCCTTTTTTTTCATAAAGCTACATGTAAAACAAATTAGACTTATAGTGTCCCCCTGTGTGTGAGTGTTTGTGCTTTATCATGGCTCACTGCTCTAACAGGTGTCACAGGTGTTGTTATCACTTCTTAATACTGTGCACCTGTTTTATGTAAGAAACCGGTTGTGCCGAACAACATAATAAAAGTATCATTTAGCATAGGATGTAGACCTCAAATAATATTTTCAATTGTAGCAATCAACTAATTGAAAGAGAGCTCTGTGGCACTGTGGCTCTCAGTGACCCCTGGGTCCCCCTGGTGGAACCAGTTGGGTAAATCTGTCTCTGCATGTCTGTGAAAATCAATAGCTTTATGAGCTGGGCTTCAGAAGGAAAGCTTCATTAACTGTTGTCTAATTTTATTTAAGATCTGTGATTTACGGATTCATATTTGCAGGTGGCACATGTGGCACACACATAGTTGAAAAATAAACCACTTAATCCTACATTTAAAACTCACAAACAAGTACAAACAAGTACAAACAAGTACGGAGCCCTGGAGGGTTCATAGAGAGAAAAATAAATAAAACGAGGCCACGTTTTATAAATTTGTGCGCACGATATACTTTCTTGTTCGCATGAGATACTTTCTCGTGTGCACGAGATAGTTACTGGTGCGCCAAGTAGGAAGTGGAGCACACAGGAGACAACCGTTTCATTGCAGACTGTTATGTTTATGTGGGGAAATGACAGTGCATACATTATTTGAGATATATTTAAAACTCAGACTTCATTTTAGAGACATTTCGGCCAGAGGTGTAGAGCTATTTGTTTTAGCACCGGATTCGCAAAACAGGAGAGTCTGTGAACCAGTCTGCCTTGATCTATGAATTAATGTCCGTGACTCTCACAGTATCAGCTATCTGCGCGCAGAGAGCTGTGTCTTTTACGCGCCGCCTTCACTGTGCTTACCTTCAGAACAGCAGAATAGAGATCGAGGCTGCTACGTTTTAGCCACACACACACGCACACACACACCTCTACACACATCGAACTGCCCGATTATTCCCCCTATTTGTGTTCTGTGAAACTGAAAAGGATATGACATTGTTTTTGTTACTTTCGTTGCAGTTGTATATGTCTTAAATGTAATTTAGGTTAACTTCCTGTTTTATGTAGATGCTTTTATTTTGAAGGCGAGTTTACGCACTTGACAGGAAGTTGTTGTTGCTATGGAAATGTGAAATGCTACATGATGTGTGTGTGTGTGTGTGTGTGTTCGGTGTATGTGTGTGTCCAACACCGGCATTTGTTTTCAAATTACCATGAACAGTAATTTACACACATCTGGCTAACTCCATATGTGTATTCCCAAGTGAAAGAAATTTGTTTAATCTCAATCTCGATGTAGGCTAGTGCTAAATGCTGTCGGAGTGCAGCAGAACGAACGCCACTACCATAATATCTTCTGAAAACAAATGCCCACACAATACATACACACACACAGACATAGACACACACACAAACATACACACACACACACGCCCTGGCGACCGGACATCTACTTCATAAAACTAATAATGTGGCGTAATAATCGGGCAGTTCGATTTGTCTAACCATAAGAAAGTATCTTGTGCGAACGAGAAAGTATATTGTGCGCACAAATTAATAAATATCACTATATATACCAATTAACATAAAAGGCAATAATCGGGAACCAATTGATTTAAATAAAGCTTGTTAATTCACAAAATGAAATTTCACTAATTCCATATAAAATATTAATAAAATAATAACAAAAAGTAGTACTTATTCATGCTTTTAAAAATGTAGTTAAGCATTTCTGGCTTAATGATAGCAGTCCTCTGTACAGTATTTAAGAGAAAGAAGTAAAAACAAACATCAAGTATGCAATAATTTGTTTATTATTATTATTTTTAAATAATATTAATACAACTCTCCAAACTCTTTTGACTGAGGAAGCTCATGAAATAAGGCTTAAAGTTCCAGAGCCAGGTTTTGCTGATCAAATGACATAATTGTCCATTTATTTACTTTATCTTTTAATGTATTCAAGAAACCAACCACATGATAAAGTATGGAAATTCAACGTCACCTGACCCCATGAAGTATTTTCTAGCCATCACCGTGAGATCGTGCCCAGTGGAGAAACAGCTCTGAATACCATTGAGATGAGATATGATTCAGCAGAGCGGAACATTTTGCGGGCCAGAATGAGTAACACTCCTGCAGTCTGTGCTCTGCATCAGGATCCTTCAGTTTATTGATTTAACATCAACTGACAAACACAGTGAGGCTGTCCTGCCATCGGCCGGCAGGTGTGTTTATCATGTTGGTGAAATTGTGGAGTCTGGGCCTCGCACTTGTAAATATAATTAGTGCATCACATCCTGTTGGGAGTACATGGGTCTGGATGGAGGATATCTGAAACAGCCTTGTGCAAAGGTCAGAAAGCAGTCAAATTGAAAACTTTGTGGCTAAAAGTTGATATTCAAATCCATGTCAAATCATGTAGTGTGTTTTAAAATTGCTTACTTACTTACCACTTAAATTTACTTACGGAAAATGGTGAAAGGTTGTTCTTCTGGGTGAGCCAATAGACAGTGTTTCAAATGGAAAATATTGCTTCTGTATCACGTGTACCCAGGACAGCGAAAGACACATCTCACCCTAACAGCAACATGGAACAACTCTAAGTCTATTTGAGGATGTGAAGTTTAACTCCAACAATCCTAAATCCTTCAATGTACAAGGGATGCCAACTTAAGACCGGGTGTGAAGGGCTCTTGATGACCCTTTAAGTTTCTCTTCCCAAAACTAAAACTCTCAAGATGTTGCATTTTGGATATAGAACATCCATACTTTTACATTACATTACATTACATTGCATTTAGCTGACGCTTTTATCCAAAGCGACTTACAATAAGTACATTCGACCAGGAAGACACAACCTTGAAGAAAACAGAATCATCGAAAAACATAACGCACTATAATAACCCACATAATCGTGAGTCAGGGTGAAATGGTACAAAAGGCAAGAAATCCAATGTAGGGAGGAGGTCATGTTGGAAGGGTCGGCCCAAAATTACCCAGGAAACAGCTGTTTCAGTCCTGTGTGAAACCAGAAGTTAACATTTACTTATTTGTTTCGTATCTTCGTAAACTTAACAAACTAATCTTTAAAGCATATTCTAACCCACACCACTATCTTTACTTAAATCTAGCCAGGTAGTTGTGTTGTCTAAACAGCTTCTGCACTGCAAGGTCCTCCTGTGGCTGGAATTTGGTAGAATGCACAAAAAAATAAATAATGAATCATGCGCCCAGACAACTTACAAAAAAGTAACTACCACAAAAATATGCTGACTCCCCAGAAGCCTCATACGCCGCCCTCATCACCATGGTGACCCGGTGTGTTGGCACTTTAATAGCTGTGAAACTCTAGTTAACAGCTCACCTGTTTTCCTCATTAC